GATAGTGCTCTCTAGCTATCGTAACGTTCGTTCGTAGTTAGAAAGTTCCAAGGTAGTATTCTACAGTAGAAGAGGTAAGATTTGTGCATAGTTCAGGAAATAGTGAGTACGTTCCAAGATAGTGCTTTCTAGCTATCGTAATGTTCGTTCATAGTTAGAAAGTTCCAAGGTAGTATTCTACAGTAGAAGAGGTAAGTTTTGTGCATAGTTCAGGAAATAGTGAGTATGTTCCAAGTCACTGCTATCTAGCTATCGTAATGTTCGTTCATAGTTAGTTAGTTCCAACGTTGTATTCTACAGTAGAAGAGGTAAGATTTGTGGATAGTTCAGGAAATCATAGTTAGAAAGTTCCAAGGTAGTATTCTACAGTAGAAGAGGTAAGATTTGTGGATAGTTCAGGAAATAGTTATTACGTTCCAGGATAGTGCTCTCTAGCTATCGTAACATTCGTTCATAGTTAGAAAGTTCCAAGGTAGTATTCTACAGTAGAAGAGGTAAGATTTGTGGATAGTTCAGGAAATAGTGATTACGTTCCAAGATAGTGCTATCTAGCTATCGTAATGTTCGTTCGTAGTTAGAAAGTTCCTAGGTAGTATTCTACAGTTGAAGAGGTAAGATTTGTGGATAGTTCAGGAAATAGTGAGTACGTTCCAAGATAGTGCTCTCTAGCTGTCGTAACGTTCGTTCATAGTTAGAAGTTCCAAGGTAGTATTCTACAGTAGAAGAGGTAAGATTTGTGGATAGTTCAGGAAATAGTGAGTACGTTCCAGGATAGTGCTCTCTAGCTATCGTAACATTCCTTCATAGTTAGAAAGTTCCAACGTAGTATTCTACAGTAGAAGATGTAAGATTTGTGGATAGTTCAGGAAATAGTGAGTACGTTCCAGGATAGTGCTCTCTAGCTGTCGTAATGTTCGTTCATAGTTAGAAAGTTCCAACGTAGTATTCTACAGTAGAAGAGGTAAGATTTGTGCATAGTTCAGTAAATTGTGAGTACGTTCCAGTATAGTGCTCTCTAGCTATCGTAACGTTCGTTCATAGCTCAGGAAATAGAGCACACAACATGGTTCTCTGCAGAAGTGGTAATGATCGTGTGTAGAAAAATGCAAAGTAAAACATTTATATTATTTTTTAACACTTAACTAAAGAAAACATGATCTTGTTAACTTGCTAACTCAAAAATCAACTACATTTAACTTGCACAAACGTGGTAACATCACAGTGCCAGCGCAACTTAGGGAACAAATAAATAATAATGATGTTCGGCGATCGTATTCAATCTTTAAACCAGTAGTAAATTAAACGGAAATAGCTTTCAACAATACTTCGAACAGAAGTAAGAAGTGGTATTCAGTAAGAACAAACATTACATTATAAAAGAATGAAGTTAGGAAGTAGGTATAAACTTTTATTCATGTATCAATCATTTCAGTTACTTTCTCAAGACAGTGAATTATACTCTAATTACCAACTCTTAATTCATATAAGTTACAGTTTATCAAAATCTAGAATGACTTAATGCTCCTGTAAAGCACAGCGAGATTTCAAGTTTTTTTTACATATTAATGTATAATTCCAACCAAAAGATTCTCACTTACAACAAACTAGCAATAAAACGAGTTTCGGAATCTAGCAGATGAGTTTCTATATGATATAAAGAAGAAGGATGGTTTACACTACTCTATTTACACATCACTAGCATGGTTAGACAACTACTAGGTGTTGGTACTGTGGTCGCTCGAGATTGAGTTGAGAACTGGCTTCTAACTCATATTCAAACTCGAAAAAGTAGCCTGGATAAAATTTAAGGTACACATCTAGTAAAATCCGATAGAAGACGTGATTTTGTGTGCAGTCAAGACCTTTAGAGATTTTAGTTTTGGTGAAATTACTCATCTGTGAAGAGATCTTCTGAGCTGCAGCATATTAAGTAGAGTATATAACTTTCTAATATCGTAATATCTTGGGTGCAAAGTTATTTTCATTACAAAAATGTGATTGATAGAAGAAACCAATAACGTTAATACTTCATCTTTCTCAGTTTATAAATGTAAAAAAAAGCAAAAAACGGGAATTTTATGGTTTTTTTTTTCTTTGCTTTTGTCATTGCCATCAATGTAAAATTTCCTTAGTTACATTTTTTGTAGTACATGCACTGTCTTTAGAGATTCATTTATTTGTATTTAATATAGCGTGAATAGTCAGTCAAACAGATAGATTACACAGGCCTGCGAGTTTGAACTTCATAAAAGTAGTTTTGGTTTTAATAACGGATTTTCTATAATTCAGCTATGCAGATTTGTTTTTATCACGTAAGGATGTTTTACAAATCGGGAAGAAAAGAAACTTACTTAGATCAATTTATAATTTCGTTTACCACAATGAACATTTTTTATTATTACGTTTATTATGTTGGGGTTGTAAAACGATTGATAAGACATGTCGCGATTGTTGTAGAGAAACCTATAGCCAGTGGTTGTCAACATTTTAAGAATAACCGATTTCAATGAAAATGATTCACTTATGTAAACGTACATATGACGTTTGGTGAAAAACCTGTACGTGATGGAGAGTGAATTTCTATCTCTGCGACTCGGGAGCACTTTTATGTATAACTATTATGCATCAATTAATTGTATATATAAATTTTGAAGATATGTTTGTGTATATCCATTACATATCAGTTAATTGTATATATTTTAGGAGATATGTTTATGTATGTCCATTACGTATCAGGTAGTTGTATATATCTTGGAGATATATTTATCAACTTGGGATTAACTTTCGAAACTTTTGTCAACTACTTTCAGTTTTATCCCTGCCGAATCAGGGATTATTGATTAAAGTTAGAAAGACTTTATGAACATATTTTATACGAAGGGTAAAATATTTGTGAAACTTCCATAGCTTTACGATATGTCTTGAGAATTTTTTTTTTTAAGGTTTGAGAAAAGTAGGACAGCATGTAGTTCACACTGAGTGACACTTAACGTCAATCAAAAATTTCCTTTCGTTTTTATACATTTTTATCATTTTCAGTGAAACCAGAAAAAATCAAGATAGAACCTTTTCAAGCACCACTTGCCGTCGGAACCAAGGTAGAGTTCATATGCATAGCCACCGGTGCTCGCCCTGCAGCAAGTATTAGTTGGTGGTTGGAAAATCGAATATTGCACTCAGCTACAAATAGAGAGATTAGCAATGGATACAGCAGCAGCTTAATGACGTACGCGCCATCTATAGAAGATAACGGGAAGTACTTTAGTTGTAAAGCCGAAAATCCTCTGATACAAGGAAGTACAATTGAGACCGGATGGTCACTTACGGTAAATTGTACGTATATTATATTATGAAGCTCTAATAATATTGATTATATTCTGATCCATGATGTTTTTGATTGATATCATATTGATTTTGCATCCGAATTTTATTCGTTAATTTCAGTACATTTAACTTTTATGCCGAATTTGACAGAAGTGCTGCTTTACCATTTTATACTTAGTTAGGTATACGTAGGTGTATTAAGACACCAGGTATGTCCATTAGTGGTTATGTGTTCTGTAACTGAGGTGCTCATTATTATTTCTATAATGTTGCTTTCATGAACAGTATTGGTTAAAATATTTAATACATCTGTTTTACAATTTTTTTATTGTAAAGATTATTTTGCATTGTTAGCTTAATATATCTGTTTAGGACTAACATAAATCTCCCTGAGCTGGCCAAATCTTGTGGTATGTTTTTAGGCCTAAAATACTGCTAATAGCTAGAGTACACAATTGATGAAACATTACATCCTAATAACACTATATTAAATTATATATACTTATAACTGGGTTGATATTTAGTTCTGAACTTTGTGGGTAGTTTGCTTTGGTCAGAATATTAGTTCACCGTTCATCAACAAAGCAGCTGTCTGCCCAAACTACAAACCTAATCAATTTCTAAGCTACTGAATTTTTGTGCTTCAAACGACAAATACAATTTTCAGAACAAATTATCTTCAACTTATCGTTAAAATATAATCATCCCCCAAAATACACGATTATTATTATTATATTATCTTGGTTTTGATTAAGCTCAAACATGCACTTAATCAGTTTTTACACAACAAATTGTACTATCAATCATATTTATATGAAATGATTTAAGGAATTAATTCTCGGATCCAATTATGTATGATAATAATTATTAAAGTTATTAGCATATGAAGTACATTATAAACATCCATTTGTTTGATATTACAGATTGCTTTATGGAATTAAAAAACGGAAATTACATGTTATGCATTTTTAATTGATGGCATTATCAGCAACTTTTTAGAACATAAACCAACCATTAAATGATAGTTGTATGTCAATGGTTTTATAATAAGACCCAGTTTTCTAGTTTAAAAGTCAAGGTTTACAATTTTTTATATAATCTATATCATAGTTTTATTTAATTTAACGTGAAGAAGGATATATGCTTTAGATCTATTGAAAAATTGTTTTACATTTTTATACTAGTAGCAAGTTTAAACCAATGCTTATAATGTATTATTACTATAAAATTTTTTATACTAGTAGCAAGCTCATACCAATGCTTTATAATAGATAATTTCAATTTTAATTGAAATACGAAAATGATATCTTTGTTTGAGGCAGAGTGTGGCTTTAGTGGCTAGGATTCAAGTTTGTTTGTTCAGTGGTCCATGGTTCGTGTCCCCTTAAAATAAATCGTGCTTCGTACCTAAGGGCCTTATGTACGTTATAAGAGCAATGATCGTATCCCAATATTCTAATCCCAAGAACTGGTTAGTGCAGTTGACTAGCTGCCTTGTCTCCAGCTTTCACTTCAAAATTAGGGAGGCTAGCACACATTATCTTTATGTAACTTTTCACGAATAAACATAACATAGAAACAAAACTTTGTTTGACTGCAATGTCAGTGATACCAGCAAGGCTTCTGTAACTTATTCAGCTTTCGCTAGTAATATGAAGTCGAAAAGTATTACACACAGTACCACGTTCCGAACTGTTATTGTGTGTGTGTGTGTGTGACAAAGAAAAAAGGAAACTTCCGATATCTGGAGTTGTAGACAGAACGTAGTTGTAGATTTTACTTCTTCACAAGTCTCGCGGGAACATTAGACAAACACCGGGTACTCTATCACAGTTGTAATCCCGGGTTTATATGTTTCATACAACCAATCCGTGAGCTAGTTTTCAAGTGTGAACCACTTCAAAGTTTCCGGTGTATTTAATCTTAACTACAGGAGTCTTTTCACTTGGAGTGGTCTAAACTACGAGAAAAAAATTTTAAGGTTTATCTTTAGAGTATTTTATACAGTAATTCTAAGCCTGCTTCACGATTTTCCAACCAACTCAGAAAGATGCAACAGAAGTTAGCTTAATAGTCTCCAACCAGTTCAGAAGGATGCAACAGAATTTAGGTTAATAGACGAAACGTTTTTATTAAATTTTGAGACAAAGTTTTTGAATATAGTTAGTGTGTATGTCTTGATGAACGATGAACAAACTTTAACTTTACATTATTCATAATATTCTAAGTTTTTAATATTGGTTTTTACATTGTCTTCACTGTACCCAAGACTATTCTTCATTTCAATTTGTTTTTGAATATTCACGCAAGGCTATCTGCGCTAACCTACCTAATTTTGAACTGATAGACTATAGGGAAGGGAGCTAGCAAACAGGATCCACCACCACCAACTATTTGTCTACTGTTATCTGACTGAATAGTGGGATTTGGTCGTCAATCGTTAGCCCCAATGTACGGAGCGCAATATTTTTGACTATATTTTCAGTAATCGGACGCGAACATTGGACCCACAGATCGATAAGTTCTGCACGATAACCATTAGCTTACACTTGACACTTAGTCAAGTTAGAAATTCAGTTTAATTTCAAATTAAATTTTCTTTCATTCCTCCTGTTATTTTTGGTTATTATACCTGAAAATATCATACATGCTTAAAATAAGTAAATTAAAAAAAAGAAAGAGCTAGAAAATCGTTCAACGTTCATTTATTTTTAAAGAATCAACGACTCGTTGTAGCTCTTTAAGAGTTATTGTGACTCTTGACGATTGATCGAGAAGCATTAACTTTTATGGTTGTTTATGTTAAATTCTTTATCAGTGTTTGTCTTTAACAATAGTAAATTTTGGGGTACCTAATGTATAACTCTGGTTTGTTCCAAGTTATATAATAAACAAATAATATAAATAATTAAAAGGCAAACAAAAACAATTTTACCCAGATAAACAACTGAGAAAAAAGAAAGCGACATCATTAATACGTCATTAAGGCTGGTTATTTCATAGTTTCAGCGAATACTCCTCAATCATACAATATTTGAATCATTTATATATTACTACGCTACACTGTTACTACAATACTACATTAACGTAAATGCTTTTAAATAGAATCAATAGGTTTGATTTTGAGGAATAGTCACCCTTACGAAAATATCAATGTTTAAAGAAACTGAGAATAGTAAAGTTTAGTCACTATGTCTTAAGTCTGTTTACAATATTTTTATAAGTGATTTTTCAAGTACAAACAGAACAGTTAAAGGCTGTGGAGCACTAGTACTGTTCACGTTTACTCACTGCTGCGGGCCCGGCATGGCCAGGTGGTTAGGGCGCTCAACTCACAATCTGAGGGTCGCAGGTTTGAATCCCCGTCACATCAAACATGCTCGCCTTTTCAGCCGTGGGGGGTGATATAATGTGATGGTCAATCCCGCAATTCGTTGGTAAAAGAGTAGCCCAAGAGTTAGCGGTGGGTGGTGATGACTAGCTGCCTTAACTCTAGTCTTACACTGATAAATTAGGGACGGCCAGCGCAGATAGTCCTCGTGTAGCTTTGCACGAAATTCTGAAACAAAACAAAACAAACTCACTGCTGCACCTATATAGAAGAAAATTAATCATTTCCTATGGTATTTAGTTACTAGTTAAATTCCTATACAGATTCTCTTAGAAACATCACATATTTCTGTACGATTAAATTAATTACGTATGGCGTATCGGAAATATATTACTGGAAATATATCTCTCTAGTACTGTACGAAGTCATTTCTTCATCGCCAGGAAATACTCATTAACTATTTCTATATATTTAAACATTTGTCTTACGAAATAGTTATATTCACTGGTAATCAATAAAATGGAGCTTGGCCGTAAAATTGAAGACATTTTATTAAGATGATATATTAATTGCGTATTTAGAGAGTTAAAGTAATCATATAATAAGCTCCTAACAGCATAGAAAACTCAAAATCAACCTCTTGTAATGATAATGTTTAAACTGAAAGCAACCTAATTTTCAGATAGATTTTACAGTCTATGTGAAGATAATACCTTAGCTTATTCTGACAAATCAACTGAGTTTTAGATTTACTGTAGAAAATTTGCTAAATGTGGAAATCCCAGAATGGCAAGACTGTCCAAATGTAATTCCATGCTTATTATACTTTACCAGATAAATTCTACTAATGCTAGTTTTACATCTATTAAGTTTTATTTCTACTACTTCTGTAAACTAATTATTGAAATCCATCATATTATAACTTACATCAAATATTTTACTATACATTTTTTGGAAGAAAAATAAAGTCAATTCTAACAAACATGACGTGGAGCAATAAATAAACTCTGAAAATTGTTTGGCCTTACAGATCCCCCTCAGTTAGTTCTGCGACAAGATAATCTAGATGTACAAGAAGGAGAATACGTTAAATTTGAATGTAACGTTCGAGCCAATCCCCCAATAACGAAGATTAGTTGGGAATTCGGAAGACAAGAACTCAACTTGAGCCCAGCAGCAGCTGTAGCTACAATAAATAACCGAACACTCATTTTGAAGAAAGTCAATAGATCCAATAGAGGGCGTTACAGATGTTCCGCTAGTAACCCTGAAGGACTTGGTGTTAGCAATGAGATATTCTTGAAGGTTAAGTGTACGTTAGTATACTATATTTCTAGATCTGTTTGATATTTTAGCGACAATAAGTAGCAATAATACAACTTCAAGTAACAGTTCACTATAAGTTTTAATGCCCTTGTTTATGCTTATAGAGTGAAGAGGCTCCAAGTTCCATCTATGGTATGATTACTGAGAAAAATATTTTATTTCTCATAATTAGATTAAACAGTGATTTTATCTACTTAACTACATCTCCCTAAAGCTGAGCTTGTCGTTTGTATTTAATTTTTTTTTTCGATTTTATAAGAACTACTTTTAAAAAATTATCACAGCTTATGATTAAATATTTTAAAACTTAAAATGCATTATTTCTTGCAGTATGAATTACATCAGACACTCGGGTATCAACTGATTTTTACAGTTGATTAAACAAGATCCAATAAGCAAAGATAAGTTTGCCTTTCATTAAATGTTACAACTGTTGATTTTAGCGTCAAAAATCCCACAGTGGTTCAACGAAAATTCTGCAAGCTTATAACGCTAAAATTGAGTTTCGATGCTCGCGGTGGGCAGAGCAGAAATAGCTCATTGACTAGCTTTGTACTTTATAACAAACAAAGCGTCAATAAATGTGTTGAAAAACGTAAAGAATAATATAGCAGCACCAGTTGACCTCATGATTACTCAATTGGACTTACTGTTCATATGAGTTTAAATACGTAATTAATCCCAAAAAAAACATCACGTTCATTTCATTATGCAGCTTCCTGAAACTGATTAATCAATGAAGTTAGGTCACCATCGAGGTGAGTCACGTCTACAGTTCCCATTATGATCGAGGTCAACTCTATATGTTTAATGGCGCAATCACAACATCATTACACTCTCGAGATCAATTCGTTATTTCTTGTAATCATAATCATTGTAGGTGAATCAATAGCGGCAGTTAATAAAAGGAATTACTGAGCACGATAATTATGATTTATTTGAATAGCTCTTCAATGACATGATTAATAAGTTATTTTAACTACTTGTCTTCAAAACTATATACACTTTATGTGTGTGTTAAAGGGTCACACTAAAGGACGTTGAATTGTAGAATTTGTTAAAACATACATACCGTAATTAATTATCATTAGTATCGCTCACATCTAAAATTTCACAATATTATCACTATTGATTAAGCGTATTTATCTGTCTCTGTTTAACTGGCATGTATGTCTATAGTAATAATATAGTACAACAGTTTACTTATTCATAAGTGCCCTAGAAATAACTGTATATGACATTTAATTTATCATAATTAAAAATTGTAAAAATATGATTAGAATTCCACGTTTTGAAAATGTGTCCCAGGGTTGAACAAAATGTATCAGAAATACGTTTAATTCATGTATCAGAAATACGGCTAATTGAAGTATCATAAATACGGCTAATTAAAACTTGTAAACGCCGATGATTATGATTAATGTAAAGTCATTCACGAGAGATCGAACGTCTATTTTTATTTTTCTATGACACAATCTTTAGCATTATCATATTCGTCAAAAACACAAATTATCATTCTAAATAAATTAGGTCTTCAAGAAATTAATGTCGCGTTTTGGAACACTTTCATTAGCCACCCACCAACAAATGTACATCACGTATAATAGTTAAACGAATTACGTAAACGTCTCGTCATTGTAGCCTATATAATATGTAAAGTTTACGAGACACACATTCGGCATGTAATGCTGTTAGAATATAATAGAGGAAACAATGCCTCTGTAACCACAAAGAATACCAAAAATGTTTATGGAAATGTTTTGAACGTTC